TTGGGCATTTGGATGTCTTCTTTGGAAAAATGTCTGTTCCGGTCCTCTGCTCATTTTTAATCCAATTGTTTGGTTTTTCTGCTTTTGAGTTGTATGATTTCTTTATTTTTTTTGGATATTAACATCTTATCAGATAGATGATTTGCAAATCTTTCTCCCATTTAGTAGGTTGCGTTTTCATTTTATTGATATTCTCTTTGCTGTGCAGAGCTTTTCAGTTTGATGTAGTCCCACTTGTTTTTGCTTTTGTTGCTTTTGCATTTGGTGTCAAATGCAAAAAATCATCACAGAGTTCAAAGTCAAGGAGTTTACTACCTATGTCTTCTTCTAGGAGATTTATGGTTTCAGGTAAATGGGATGGTTTTCTTTCCCTTTCTGGTAGTTCAGTACTAGTGTGTAGAAATTCAACACATTTCTGTATATTGATCTCATATCCTAGAACTTTACTGGATTTACTAGTTCTGACAGGTATTTTGGCAGAGCCTTTAGGGTTTTCTCTATATACTATCAGACACATGCAAACAGTGACAATTTTACTTCTTCATTTATAATCTTGATGACTTTCATTTCTCTTTCTTGCATATTTGCTCTGCCTAGACTTGCCAATACTGTGTTGAATAGAAGTGGTGAAAGTGGGCATCCTTGTCTTGTTTCTGATCTTAGAGGAAATGCTTTCAGATTTTTCACTGTTAAGTATGATGTCACTTGTGGGCTTGTTATATATGTGGGCTTTATTGAGGTATTTTCCCTCTCTACCCAATATGTTGAGAGAGTTTTTATCATAAATAGATGTTGAATTCTGTCAAATGCTTTTTCTGCATCTGTGGAGATGATTATATGGTTTTCATCTTTCATTTTGTTAACGTGGTGTATCTCACTTATTGATTTGTGAATGTTGAACCATCCTTGCATCCTTGAAATAAATTCCACTTGATTGTGGTATATGATCCTTTTTACGTATTGTTGAATTCAGTTTACTAATATTTCGTTGAGGATTTTTGAATTTATTTTTAGCATGGATATTGGTCTGTAATTGTCTTTTTCTGTGGTATCCTTGTCTGGTTTTGGTATACGGGTAATGTTACAGTGCTGGAATGTCTCAAACCAAACAATTAACTGCACAGGGACATAGCCCCACCTATCAGTCTTTAGGCTCCTCAAAGACCTCCTGAGCCCACAACCACCTCTAGACACAACCCTAGACAGCACTCTGCCCACCAGAGAGCCAAGACCCAGCTCCACCCACCAGTGGGCAGGCACTAACCTCTCCTGCAAGGAAGCCTGCACAAGCCCCTAGAACAGCCTCACCCACCAAGGGTAAGACACCATAAGCAAGAAAACTATGATCCCACAGTCTATGGAACAAGTCTGCAAACAAGGCCAGACACTACCCTGACAACAGCTGGCCCCTGGCCCTTGGGTCACAAGAGGGAAGTGCAATGCTGGGATGCACAGGATGTCTTCTACAGAGGGCCACTTCTCCAAGGTCGAGAAATGTAAATAACCTACCACATACATAAAAATAGAAATAGCAATTTAGACAAAATGAGGCAGCAGAGAAGTATGTTCTACATGAACAAACAAGATAAAACCCCAGAAGAAGAACTAAGCCATGTGAAGATAGGCAATCTACCTGAGAAAGAGTTCAGAGTAATGATCATAAAGATGATCAAAAAACTCAGGAGAAGAATGGGTGCACAGAGTGAGAACTTACAAGGTTTTAACAAAGAATTACAAATATATAAATAACAACCAGAGTTGAAGAATACAATAACTGAAATAAAACACACACTAGAAGGAATCAGTAGTAGACTACATGATGCAGAAGAATGGATCAGTGAGCTGGAAGGCAGAGAAGTGGAAAGTACTGCAATGAAACAGGAAAAAAAAAAACAAGGACAGTCTAAGAGACCTCTGAGACAACATCAAGCATACTGATATTTGCATTACTGAGGTCTCAGAAGGAGAAGGGAGAGAGTAAAAGCCCAAGAAAATATTTGAAGAGATAATTGCTGAAAACTTCCCTAAGCTGGGAAAGGAAAGTCACCCAAGTCTAGGAAGCAGAGAGTCACATACAGGATTAACCCAAAGAGGAACACACAAAGACACACTGTAATCAAAATTACAAAAATTAAATATAAATAGAGAATATTAAAATTAAAATAAATAATAAAAGCAGAAATGAAAAAGAAGTTACAGCCAATACCACAGAAATACAAAGGATACTCTGAGGCTACTATGAGCAACTATCTGCAAATAAAATGGACAACCCAGAAGAAATTGACAAATTCTTAGAAAGGCACAATCTCCCAAGATTGAA